CCTACTATCAGTAAAGTCACTACCTAGCTTTAAGTATTATGCTTGTTACTTAATAAACATCCACTGAAATTACATCACTAGACTGTCTCCTTTTGCCCAAATGGTGAAAGTCTCAAATAAATTGAGAAATATTGAGTGTGTAAACTCACAAAGACTGTATGTTCAACGTATACTTTTGGCAGAAAAGTTTAGTACACATGAGACACTGAAATTGCATGATCAGCCATGATCATATTGAATGATGGTGCAGACTCAGAGGGCCAAATGGCCTACTCCATCTATCTTCTATGCTTCTGTGTTTCCAGCAAATATTTAGGAAAGCAAATGGAATGTTGTCATTAATTACAGGGGGAATGGAATACAAAAGTAGCGATATTTTGCCTCAGTTGTACAGGGTATTGGTGAGACCATGTCTGGAGTACTATGCCCAGTTTTGTTCTCCTTATTTAAGGAATAATATAAATATATTAGAAGCAGATCAGAGAAGATTCATTTGACTAATTCCTGCAATGAAGGTGCTATCTTACGATAAAAAGGTAGATCGGTTGGGCCTGTACCCATTGGGGTTTAGAAGAATATGAGGTGATCTTATTAAGCACATGTGATCCTGAGGGGAGTTGTCAGTTGGATATTGAAAAGATGTTTCTCTATGCAGGAGAAAAAGAACTAGGAGGGACTGATTAAAAATAAGTGATCTCCCAAAATAGGATGGAAATAAGGGGATTTTAATTCCCTGAGGGCTGACAGACTGTGGAATTTTCTTCCCCAGAAAATGATGGATGCAGGGCCATTGAATATTTGTAAGGCAGAGGTAGACAGATTCTTGATTAATAAGGGAGTTAAATAGTATAGGGAGTGGACAAGAAATTACAGTATAGGCCACAATCAGATCACCTATCATGATCCTATCAAATGGCAGATCAGGTTTGAAGGGTTCAATAGCCTACACCTGTCCGAATTCATATATTCATCTGTGCTGGTTTACCACCACTGAAATATGCAGGGAGTAACTGAATCTTCTCTCATAGCTTAAGGCCATAAGAAGAGGAGTAGAAGACCACATGGCCTGTCGATTCTGTTTCAACATTCGGCAATCATTGCCAATCTTCAGTTTCAACTCTAATTTCACGCCCACTTCTCATAAATCTCGATTACACAAGAGAGCAAAATTCCATCTATTCTGGTCTTAAATATATTCAATGATGGCACATTCATGTTTCTCTGGGGTAGAATTCTAAAGATTCACAAAAATCTGAGTACAAGTATTATTTTTCAACCCAGTCCCAAATTGTGACCCGCTATTTCTGAGACAATGCCCTGTGTTTTGAATTTTCCAGCCCAAAAGAAACATTCTCTATGTTGAGAGAGATAGTAGGAACTGCAGATGCTGGAGAATCCGAGACAACAAGGTGCAGGGCTGGATGAACACAGCAGGCCAAGCAGCATCATAGGAGCAGAGAGGCTGACGTTTCGGGCCTAGACCCTTCATCAGAAAAGGGGGAGGGGAAGGGGGTTTTGAAATAAATAGGGAGAGAGTGGGAGGCGGATAGAAGAGGGATAGAGGAGAGGATAGGTGGAGAGGAAACAAACAGGTCGAAGAGGCGGGGATGGGGCCAGGAAAGGTGAGTGTAGGTAGGGAGTTAGGAAGGGGATAGGTCAGTCCAGGGAGGACGGACAGGTCAAGGGGGCGGGATGAGGTTGGTCGGTAGGAGATGGAGGTGCGGCTTGAGGTGGGAGGAGGGGATAGGTGGGAGGAAGAACAGGTTAGGGAGGCAGGGACGAGTTGGACTGGTTTTGGGATGCGGTGGGGGGAGGGGAGA